TCACTCCAGCAGCAGCGCGACGAGGATGCAGCCCGCGAGCACCACGTTGCCAGAGGCCGCCTGTGTGACTTTCGCGCCCACCGCGGCGTACTTGACACACACCTCGATGCCATGCATGCAGACACAGAGCCACCCCAGAGGGCGCCTGACAGCTTCCAGCAAGGCGGGCTCGACGCCCCAGCGGGCGGTCCAGAAGCCGCTGGGAACGTCGGAGGCGAAGAGGCAGACCAGGCCGGTGCATGCCACCCACAGCGCGCAGATGCGCCAGATCATGACGTCGAAGGCCGTCTTGGCCTGCGCGGCCTTGCGGCCTTCCATGGCCTTCCACATCATCTCCATGTTGAAGAACAGCACCGGGCTCCAAAGAAGCATGAGGGCGCCGTTGAAGGCAAGGGCCGCGCGCAACATGGTGCTGGTGTGAACACTTGACAGGGTGTACGGAAACTCACCCGTCAAATCTCATGGATTTGACTCCCACTACAGTCCGTGGCAGTGCAGTGGTATTGGTCCTTGGCCCACCTTGCCTTTCTGGCGATACCAGAGACTGCTCCGCAAAAAGATATCACAATAGAACATGGGTCTGCTGGCCTTCTCCCGTTCATCAGATCACGTGGTGCCCTTGTGTTGGCAGTTTCTCTCACACTGAGCAGAGCCAGAAGCAAGATACAAAGACAGAAATCATGCCAAGAACTGTCAAGACACGGAACCTCACATTATCGACTGGGCGTTTGGGTACGTGTCTAGAGCAAAACTGTTGCTGTACCCGTCGACCTCTTGGTTGGGGGGCTCAACTCCCTGAAACAAAACAAAAAACAATATTCCACAATTCTCTTGCAAATTGCTACCCTCCGACCCTCCCCTAGGCTAATGGAAGCTCCCGGCACCCCTTTGAAAGACTTTTTTCCATGTACAGAGGCTTTCGGGGATCTTCCATGTCTGCGGGGGTGTAGAACTCACGAACCTGACAAAACTGCATCCCCAAGTCACGTACCTCCAGCTCGCCACATGGGCAGGCTTTAAATCCACGCTCACTTTTCGGGGTGGCATTTGGGTGAACCAGATCGGATCGAAAGATCAAAGTCAGCTTTCACATTGGTTCACCTCCTTCTTTTTTTTTCCCGCCCCCTGGAAACAAACATTACAATCATTACAATTGCCCCTCCGTTTGCCCCCCCGGAAGCCTGCAAACAACTTTTTTGCAAGTTCGAAGCTCAGCTTCTAGGTTATAAGGATACCGGTTCTTTTCTCTGTAGTCTATTTTAGTGTCCCGAACCCTCACCAAAAAAGAAACGGCTGAGAACGGGCACCAGGGGACCTAGGCTTGAACCCCGCACGCCCCGAAGCCCCGCAAGGAAACTCTGAGCTTCTGACTCGCAGATTTCGTGCCCTTTGACTTGGTCCTTCGGCCTCAAGCCGCGAAGCGATCGCTAAACACCTGGCTCCATTCAAGTGACTCTCACTTGTCTATGTCTCCGTTTTTTTGGGGGGGGACACCAAAATGCTGGGTTTCCTGGTGGTTTCGCTGAACCAAAGGCACGCCAAAACCGGCAGCGTCAAGAAGGCACCCCATGCCCAACGGACTTGGAAACCAAAAAGGCTCACCTTTTAGGACCTTGACTACTAGACACCGGAAGCAAAGGTTCACCTTTTAGGACCTTGACTACTAGACACCGGAAACCTTTTAGGATGTTGAATTAATATAGACACTGGAACAAAAACAAATCAATGGGTCGATTCGCGGCTGCGACATGTCAGAAATTACCCTCTGACACCAAACACTGGGACCAGTACGGTGAAATCCTCAGAACAACATCTCTAAAGCAAATGCTAGCTTGAAGGGAACTACCCCTCAGAAAAAGGATATCATTTTGAGAAATTCGGAACCCCTGAATATGTTCCCTTCCCTTAATGGAATTCATGGCCTAACTGACGCCCACGTCCGCTGTTGCGGTGCAGCAGCGGTGACAACGCAACAGCTGATTAGCATTGGCTGTCCTGCCATTTGACTGCCGATGGGCCTCATGCCGATTGCTGGTCAAAATCTCCTGGTCCTGGGTATGGTTCTCTGAACAGGAACACTTACCTGGGCTGCCCTCAGATCCCCCGCTAAAAGTCTAACTTTTCGTGGCTTAAATGGAAACTACCGCTAAACACTAAAAGGCTAAAAAGCTAAGGACCGGATGGCTGGGAGCCACCAAGTTACGCTTCACCAAACTCCCTAAGCAGTCAATGACCGTCCCGGCACTCCTGCCTGAACGCGAGGGCGCCGGCCCCTGGCGACAAGCGGCAAGCGGCAAGGCACAAGTGGAGCAGAGCGAGATTCGCTGAGTCGCAGGCAGAAAAGCAAACTGCCAGGTGTTACTTTCAATGTCTTGACCAGCCCCCCCCCCCCTCCACCCCAAAAAAAAGAGAGATGCGAAAAATTATTGGATTGATTCTACCCCTCCCCCCAAAGAAAGAACAAGAACAACAAATCATAAAGGTGACTCTCTCGTTGGTTCCCCCATTTCAGCTTTCTCCGATTTGTGTCTTCAAGCCCAAAAGTGGCTCCTACTTCTTCCCCAAAAAGATGATGAGCCTCGAAAAGGAACATCTCCAATATTTCATTTGAACAAGCCAGAGCCGGTCAATATGAGTGTCTTTTTGAGGCTGCTTCTTTGGTTTTGAAGGGAAACCAAGAGGAAAATCACCATTTTGGGGAGCCACCCAACAAAAAGACACACCCGTACATCCCTTCGATTCCTTTTGAAACCGTCCCACGGCGCACTCTCTCGAAATACGAGACATCATGCAACCGGACAAAATGGCCAAACCGGGCTTCCTGGCGCGAGTCCGAGAAGGCGAAACAACCCTTTCAAAGGGTGGGCATTTTTTTGTCCTCTGGGTGCCCTAAAAGAAAATGACATCCTAAACGGATCCTAACCCACCGATATGAAAAACACATTCCAGACTACAAAGTACCAACTAAAAAAAAATAAAACTAACGCTGCCGTTCGATATCAGTTTCGTTTGAACGTCCCACCTCCGGCTGTGAGCGGCCGGGCGAAGGACTGGCGAAAGCGCAGCGGTCGACCCAGATCTTGCCACGCAACCACTTTTCTGGGTTTCTGGAGTGGCGACAAAACATCGAAAAACAAATGTGCCACTAGAATAGTTTGTCCAACACAACAGGGTCCAGGAGAACTGGCAGCGAGGGATTCCTTCACTTTAAGGTTAGAGGAGCGACAAAACATCGAAACTCTTCGTTTGTCTTTGTCCAAGTAGAGTCCAGGAACAGGCAGTGAGGGATTCCTTCTCAAGTGGGGCCCGTAGGATCTCAGTTCCTGGATTGGCTACGAAACATCGAAACGGTTCGCTTGCCACTAGAATAGTTTGTCCAACACAACAGGGTCCAGGAGAACTGGCAGCGAGGGATTCCTTCACTTTAAGGTTGGAGGAGCGACAAAACATCGAAACTCTTCGTTTGTCTTTGTCCAAGTAGAGTCCAGGAACAGGTAGTGAGGGATTCCTCCCAAGTGGGGCCCGTAGCATCTCAGTTCCTGGATTGCCTACGAAACATCGAAACGGTTCGCTTGCCACTAGAATAGTTTGTCCAACACAACAGAGTCCAGGAGAACTGGCAGCGAGGGATTCCTTCACTTTAAGGTTTATGCTGTTATTTTTTTTTTTTTCGCAAGGGTCAGATGCGGAATCAACCTTTCGCTCATTGCATTGTGGCAGGGTTTACCTTTTGAACCACCTTCAGCGAGACTCAAATTGACTACCCGAAATCGGTGAGGGAGTGTGCCCTTGGAAAGAGTGGCTTCCCTATGACACATGCTAGACCATGGTCAGGGTGGCAAGCAACGGGCAAGTGTTTAAAGGATTTCAGGGTCCTTGACTTGTTAGGCCTAGAGAAAGGGTCAACATACAGTTACTTGTTTCTAGTAGGGAATGTGGGAGAACCACCCCTTGTTGAACCGTAGCCGACCGGTAGCAGGTTTTGCCCATGAACAAGCACGCCTTTTACAGTTCTATTATGTTCACTATTATTTTTGCAAACCAACCACTTTTTCAAGATTTGGGGAACGCAAGATCTTCCACAACGATTTGGATCATCTCAAAGAATGGGCCGGGAGAGCATGACTTGCGGGACAAACAATTGGCAAACATGCGTCCACAGTTTGCCATGCAAACAATATCTTTGCCTTATGTTGTGGTCTTGGAATGTGAAGCCACAAAACCTGTGGTTCTTTTTTGCTTGGGTTCCAAGTCGATTTCCCCATGGCTGCAACCCTCGAACTTTCTACCGCACTCAATTAATTCCTTTGGGTCTCCATTCCGCGGGGGCCCGTACCAGACGAGCCCCCGAACCAAATATATATATATATATATATATGGTCGCCCCCCCCCCCAAGATCCACCCCCAGCTTTGGACAAAGCTAAAACACTGCCAAACCACTGTAATTTACATTGGGGGGGGGGGGCGACCATATATATATATACATATATATATATATGTATATTGTTTGTTGTCTCTATGTTTATATTTTTCGTTATTTTCGTCGTCTCTCTTCTTTCTCTTTGTCTGTTTCCTTTCGTTCTGCCGCCGCCAGCCAAAATCTTACAAGGTAGAAAGCAAGGAAAAACAAAAGAAGAGAGACGACGATAAGAAAGACAAAGATAAAGATAGAGAGAACAAAAGATGGGAAACTATAGGGAACCTGAGACGCCGATGCGGGCGTGATTTTTTTTTAATGGTTGGACACTCCGCAATGGTGATGTTTGCCTTTCCCCTCGACCACCCCCCCAAAAAAAACAAAAAAAACACACACACACACACACACTAAACTACCGGGTACCCCCCCAACAAAAAAAAACAACATGCAAGAGGAACAAGGTACCAACTCAAGGCAAAGACAAGCCAGCCACATCTATTCCCCCCATTTGCGTTCCGGTGTTCCGCCCTCCTCTGCTCAGCCTCTTCCCTGTCGAAGGCTTCGGAGGATCCGAGAGCGAAGGTATCCAACGGATCCGTGCGACTCAAAACCCGGTAACTTGTTTCAAGGGAGCATTTAGAGGCGCAAACGTCAGTATGTAAGGTCTGTGGGGGTCTTTGGGGCCGTCGTATTTCGCGTCTCGGGCTCCTAGAAAAACTGTAATGTGATTTTGGGAACCCCTTGAATGCTTCTTAATTTTACGAACCCATTGCGGCGAAATGCATGCGCCTTTGCCCTTGGCGTGTACAGAGTGTGAGTTCTGAAACTGATCTCAGCGGAAAAGACGTGGACAGCGAACTTTGCAACACATCGAACAGCCGAATCAAGAACTGGCCTTGGTCTTCCAAGGGCCCGCAACAAAACAGGGCCCTTCTTGACTTTGCTCTTGGTTGAGAAAAAGGAACCTCTGCCAAAGGCAACTGCTTTTTC